TGCTGGCAGCTAGTCTAGGGCTGCCCCGGATGCACCCCAGAGGCTACATCTATACTGCAGCTGGGAGGGTGCCTCCTAGTGCAGGGAAATGTGCCCCCACTCGCTTTGTCCCAGCTGCAGTGTAATGTGCCCTTAGGGACTTTGGCCAAGCCGCCTCCTGTGACTCCGTGACACCAAGGCCCCAATGTTCTGGTGACCCAAAGGGACCCCCCCCTCCCCACTTCGGGTGCAAACAGCTTTGAGTGTAGGTCTGGCAGAACCTATGTCTGAATGTGGGTCAAGCCCTAAGACCCCATTTGGGATACTCTGTGCAGTTCTGGTCTCCCATGTTTAAGAAGGATGAATTCAAACTGGAACAGGTACAAAGAAGGGCCACTAGGATGATCCGAGGAATGGAAAACCTGCCTTATGAAAGGAGACTCAAGGAGCTTGGCTTGTTTACTTTAACCAAAAGAAGGCTGAGGGGGGACATGATTGCTCTCTTTAAATATATTAGAGGGATAAATACCAGGGAAGGAGAGGAATTATTTAAGTTTAATACCAATGTGGACACAAGAACAAATGGATATAAGCTGGCTAGTAGGAAGTTTAGACTTGAGATTAGACGAAGGTTTCTAACCATTAGAGAAGTGAGGTTCTGGAACGGCCTTCCAAGGGAAGTAGTGGGGGCAAAAGATCTATCTGGTTTCAAGATTAAACTAGATGGGTTTATGAAGGGGATGGTTTGATGAGATAACATGATCTTGGTAACTAATTGACCATTATCAGTGGGAAATAGGTCAATGGAGGGATGATAGGAGTTACTATAGAGAACTTTCTGGGTGTCTGGCTGGTGAGTCTTGCCCACATGCTCAGGGTTTAGCTGATCGCCATATTTGGAGTCAGGAAGGAATTTTCCTTCAGGGTAGATTGGCAGAGGCCCTGGAGGTTTTTCGCCTTCCTCTGTAGCATGGGGCACAGATCACAGCTGGAGGATTCTCTGCATCTTGGGGTCTTCAAAGTATTTGAAGGCTTCAATATCTGAGATCTAGGTGAGAGGATTATTCTAGGAGGGGTGGGTGAGATTCTGTGGCCTGCACTGTGCAGTGGGTCAGACTAGATGATCATAATGGTCCCTTCTGACCTTAAAGTCTATGAGTCGGTTCACACAGTGGAGGAACCCACCTGTTAATTTCTCATGCGCAAAACCTTCTAGGGAGGCCCTGTGGGAACCTGGCTGCTTCTCATAACCTGTGTTAAAATACGGTGGGGGTTTGAAATTGGCTTAATTTTACTGGGCACTTAAAAAAAAAAAAAACTGCGTAGCACGCCCCGCTCCTCCCGGCCTCAGGTCATAAGAACAGCCGTACTGGGTCAGATCAAGAATCCATCTAGCCCAGTATCCTGTCTGCTGACAGTGGCCAATGCCAGGTCTGCTCTGTTCTGCAGGGCGTGCGAGCACGGTGCGGAGTGGAGGGAGGAGTTTTTTTCAGTTCTCTTCTGAAACCGGGGCTGCTCCATCCGCCGGGAAAGTGGGGTGTGACGTAGGGGGCAATTGGCCCACTGTGTTCACTCTGGTTTTGCATTCACGGTTTGCTTTGTTGTGCTTTATGCAAGTCCTACTGTCCTGTGCTGTTCTGGAGTAACTCTGTGTGCCTCAGTTTCCCTGGGCACTGCCACACAATCTGAATGAGGAGAAGTCTGGGCATGACTCACTGTGGACGTGTCAATCTCCTGAGGACCAGGTGACAGCAAATAACACCCTGGGACTGGAAGCTGGGCTGCCTGGGGGACTGTGAGCAGGGGCAGGGAGTGTGCGTTAGTTTTTTGCTGGCTGAGGGGGAAGGGAGCCTGGCTGGCGGGGGAATGACTCACTGTGGACGTGTCAGTCTCCTGAGAACCAGGTGACAGCAAATAACACCCTGGGACTGGAAGCTGGGCTGCCTGGGGGACTGTGAGCAGGGGCAGGGAGTGTGCGTTAGTGATGCTGTGTCCCCCATGAACCAATAAACCTTCTGTTCTACTTGCCAGCTGAAAGTCCCCTCCAGCTGTAGACGGGGGTGCAGGCCCCAGTGTCTCCCCCGTGACATGGGGCGAAGGGTAGAAACTGTCCTTTTCCCCTCCAGCTGCAGACAGGGGTGCAGGCCCCAGTGTCTCTCCCGTGACATGGGGCGAAGGGTAGAAACTGTCCTTTTGCAAGACACACCTAGGAGAAAATGAGAACACTGAAGCTGGAGGCTGGCTGAGATGAGAGCTTTGCATGTCGTTCATTTGTAGAAGAGGCACAAGTCGTCTTAGAGATTCAAAGATACACAGCGCTGGGGCCAGAGCTGCGAATGCAGAAAGTCGGTACAGTTTCATACGGGAGTTTTGGTGGCCATTGTAAGATTTGCAGAATTGGCAGCTGCTATATTGTGTACTTAGATTTCCAGAAAGCTTTTGACAAAATCCCTCACCAAAGGCTCTTAAGTAAAGTTAGTTGTTATGGGATAAGAGGGAAGGTCCTCTCGTGAATTGAGAACTGGTTAAAAGACAGGAAACACAGCGTAGGAATAAATAGTCAGTCAATTTTCAGAAAGATATAGGTATGCTCTCTCCACTCTCCTAGAACTAGAAGCGACTTCGAGAGGTCATCGAGTCCAGTCCCCTGCCCTCGTGGCAGGACCAACCTGCCACGAGGTAACTAGTGGTGTTCCCCAGAGTCCATACTGGGACCAATCTTATTCAACTTACTTATAAATGATCTGGAGGAAGAGGTGTAGACAGTGAGGTGGCAAAATTTGCAGATGATTCTAAACTGCTCAAGATAGTTAAGACCAAAGCAGATTGTGAAGGGCTTAAAAAAGATCTCGGCAAACTAAGTGATTGGGCAACAAAATAGGAAATGAAATTTAATGTTGCTATGTGTAATTGGAAGAAATAATCCCTACTGTTCATAAAACAGGTGGGGACTAATTTAGATGTAACGACACAAGAGAGAAATCTTGGAGTCATTGTGGATAGTTCTCTGAAAATATCCACGCAGTGAGCAGCGGCAGTCAAAAAAGCAAACCGAAGGTTAGGAATCGTTAAAAAGGGGATAGAGACTAACAGAATATTTTATTGCCTTTATATGAATCCATGGTACGCCCATAGCTTGAATACTGTGCACAGATGTAGTCGCCTTCTCTCCAAAAAGATCCATTGGCTTTGGGAAAGGTTCAGAAAAGGGCAACAAAAATGTTTAGGGGTTTGGAACGGGTCCCATATGAAGAGAGATTAAAAAGACTTGGACTTTTCATCTTAGAAAAGTGGAGGCTGGGGGGGGAGGGGGGATATGATAGAGGTCTATAAAATCATGACTGGTGTGGAAAAAGTGAATAAGGAAAAGTTATTTACTATTCCCATAACGTAAGAACTAGGGGTCACCAGATGAAATTAATAGGTAGCAGGTTTAAAACAAAAGAAAGTTTTTCCTCACACAGAATACAGTCAACCCGTGGAACTCCTTGCCTCACACAGAGTACAGTCAACCCGTGGAACTCCTTGCCAGAGGATATTGTGAAGACTAGAACTTTATCTAGTTCTTTCTTGAACCCTATTAAATTCATGGAGCTTAGATCCATCAGTGGTTATTAGCCAGGAGGGTAGGAATGGTGTCCCTAGCCTCTGTTTGTCAGAAGTTGGGACCCTTTGATGATTCCCTGTTCTGTTCTCTCCTCCTGGAGCATCTGGCATTGGCCACTACTGGAAGACAGGACACTGGGCTAGATAGACCTTTGGTCTGCCCCAGTATGGCAGCTCCTATGTTCTAATAATCTCACTGGCTTAGAACAATTTTACTTTTAGATACCCATCAGCTCACCCATCATCCTGTGCTTGGAATCAAAAATTAAGGCTGCCAGGGTGGTGAGCAGTAGTGACTCCTTGTCAGCTGAGCGCTTGAAGCCAGGAGAGATTCAAGACTCCCTGTCAGCTGAGCGCTTGAAGCCAGGAGAGATTCAAACGTTGCTCACATCTGGCAGCATGTGTATCTATTGGTGGTGCACATCTACACATGCCTCAGTGTACAAAAATTTATTCTGCACGGGGAAGGAAGAAATGAGAAGAAACATTTATGACGAGGTGCCCTGCTTGCATTGATTTGCCAGGCCAGCTGGGCATGCTGCTCCCATTTGCCCCTCTGGAAATCTGGTACTCACCGCTACTAGCGCTTGAATACACTTTGCTGTTGTGCCTGGCTAGTGCCCCACTCTTAGATTGTCGTCTGAGGATGTGAACATTTCTTTCCTTCAAAAGTTATCCCTCCCTCCGTCCCTCCATCCTATTAGTGATCAATTCTCTTGTGGTCAGTCTGAGAGATGTAATTCTTCAAAGCTAGCCTCGCTGTTGGATCTCCAGTCTCACATGTCTCCTTTGCGGCTGGAAAACACCCATTGTGCTCAGATTTTGACCTCAAGACCCCTCCAGCCACCCCGGCCCTTTGGCTTCCTTCATCGGCCTCCCTTGTTGGCTTTCTGGCCACGCTCAGCCAGCTCCACCCCTTAGCTCAGCTCCCCGCGGCACTGTTGCACCCTAGGCGGAAGGCTGATGTTGGACCCCTTGCTTGTGGCTTGGCTTAGCCCCGCGCCCGTCACAGAGCCGGCGAGTGAGCACGCACCTGGATCTCACCGTCGTTTTTCAGGACGGTCTCTTTGAAGACCCACACTTCCCTGCCCCTCTCCTGTTGCCGCCTTCCCGTCGCTTTAGCAGCTCTCTCGTCTCTTTGGGCGCCCTGGCCCGGCTGGAGCGCTTGGCTCAGAATTCCTCCACCTCGAGCGGATTAATCATTTTATTTATTAGGCTTACGGGCCAAATCCTGCTAAACCCGAGGCTTTGCCAGATAAACAGGCTGCTTTGCAAAGGCAGCCCGTTTGTGAAAACACAATTAGCAAACCCTGTAATCTGCACTAATTATCAGGCAACACTCCGGAGGTTCATTCCCCTCTGCTCCCGCAGGCTTTCCCTGGCCCCACTGGAAGCTGCTGGAGGAGAAGCGAGGGATGAGCTCAGGTGAAAAACCCAGAATTGCCCAGACCATGGAAGAGGCAGGAGCTGGGAGCAGGGGCCAGCCCGGAGCTTCCTTCACCATTGATTATCTGCTCTTCACTAAGGGGAAGCCAGGCAGCAGAGATCGGGCGCCTCCGACCTGCCAGCCACCGGACAGTCCTGGCTCCTCCGAAAGGAAATCGGAGGAGGTGGTACAGGAGAACCCGCCTGTCCCTGGCTCTATGGACCCGCTGGACAAACCCAACCAGTCTTACATCGCCCTGATTTCCACAGCTATCCTCTCCTCCCCGGAAAAGAAGCTGCTGCTCTCAGATATTTACCAGTGGATCATGGATAACTACCCTTACTTCAAAAATAAGGTGAGTTCCCTTTGTCCTGGGGCGGGAGGATGGTGTGATGGCTGACTTGGGTCCAGGGCTTCCAGTTCTCCAAACCTATCTGGCTCCAGAGTTGCTCCCGCAGGCTGCGTCTTGGCTCCGGGCATGTTCCCAAGGGGGAGCAGAGCAATTTGATAAAATGTGCCTCCGTAAACCCCTCCATCCCGCACACCCTGCCGGCTCAGAGTCTGTCGGCACGGGCGCGTGCACAGCTGAGGCTGAACTTCAAAGTACGGCGCCCCCCCCCCTTTCTGATTTGTCGCTGGGAATTTGGGAGCCTCCTGGGGCGAGAGGTGAATTTAATTCTTCACTACAAACTTCCCCCCCTCTGGGACTGGGACTGCGGAGATGAAGGACGGTCAGAAGAACTTTCTCTTTGAGGAAAATTTGAAAGTTCTCGTTTTGAGATGAAGGAAGAACCTTCTCTTTGAGGAAAATTTGAAAGTTCTCGTTTGCCCCAAATCGATTCAAAGCTCCTAAGGATGCTGTAGCCTGTTGGTTGCAGCTGGGCCTCCTCTTCCTGACCTGTGGTCTGTTGAGCGCAAGGGAAGGCAGGGGAATCCTAGAATCATAGAACTCTTGAACTGGAAGGGATCTGGAGAGATCGAGTCCAGGCCCCTGCAGGACCAAGCACCGTCTAGATCACCCCTGACCGGCACCTGTCGAACCTGCTCTTAAATATCCCCAGAGATGGAGATTCCACAACCTCCCTAGGCGACTTATTCCAGTGTTTCACCACCCTGCCAGGGAAAGGTCACTCTCCCCTTTTGCTTCCCAGCTGCTCGGGGCAGGAGGTCAGGAGACATACAGGTGGAAAGTGTTCTCTCCCCTCTGTTGCTTGGGCCACGGGGCAGGCAAGCTGGAATGCAAAGGCCCCTTTTCAGCCTGGCAGGAAAATGCAGCGGTTAGAGGCGGGTGCAGAAAGAGTTTTGGACCTGGCGTGGGGTTGGGTTTAAGGTGTGTTCGAGTCAGGCGCCTTTCTGAAAACAATCGGAGGCGACTGTCCTAGGAAAGGTGACGTCCCTGGCTCCACTGAGCGATTGTGCAAACCCAGGGAGCGCTGGGACGCTGACGTGTGGGACCCGGGGGGTGTTCCTCTGCCGGGGAGAGAGCGGTTGTAGGTTCCTAGGATGGTATCGCTTCGGAGCGGAGTGGGGCGCAGGGGGCCAAGAGGAGGGGCCAGCTGACTCTGCTGCTGACTTGCTGCAGGAGACATTTAAGTAACCGCAAAGGAGGCAGGACAACATTGTGCCTCTGCTGTTTTTTCCCTTTAAGACGTTACAACCAAAATCTGCTTGTTCCTGCTACAGGTCGAGGGCTAGTTTCCCCCAGAAGAATCTCTGTGGGTGGAGAGGGAGCAGGGAGTTAGCAAAGAGCGGGGAGGCTGTGAGCTGCAGCAGTTGGGAGGGGGGAAGCTGTTTGCTCCAGACCATGAGCGATCTGGTCATTCTACACTTAGTATCATAGAATCCCAGGGTTGGCAGAGCCCTCGGGAGTCAACGAGTCCAATGCCCTGCCTAAACTATCCCAGACCGGGCTCTGTCAAGCCGGGACTTAAAAACCTCGCGGGACGGAGGTTCCACCCCCTCCTTAGGGAACCCATCTCAGGGCTTCCCCACCCTCCTAGGAAAATAGTTTTTCCTAATATCCAACCTAGACCTCCCCCGGTGTAACTTGAGACCATTGCTCCATATTCTGTCCTCACTGAGACCAGCCTCTCTCCATCCTCTTTGGAACCTCCCTTCAGGAAGTCGAAGGCTGCTCTCAACCCCCCCTCGCTCTTCGCTTCTGCAGACTAAATAAGCCCAAACCCCTCAGCCTCTCCTCGTAGGTCATGTGCTCCAGCCCCCTCATCATTTTGGTTGCCCTCCGCTGAACCCTCTCCGATGCATCCACATCCTTTCGGTAATGGGGTCCCAGAATTGGGCGCAGTACTCCAGATGTGGCCTCCCCAGAGCCGAATAAAGGGGAATAATCACTTCTCTAGATCAGCTGGCAATGCTCCGCTTAATGCACCCTAATATGTCATTAGCCTTCGTGGCTACAAGGGCCCCCTGTTGACTCATATCCAGCTTCTCATCCACTGTAACCCCCAGGGATTTTCTGCTGAACTGCTGCTTAGCCATTCGGTCCCCAGCCTGTAACAATGCTTGGGATTCTTCCGTCCCAAGTGCAGGACTCTGCACTTGTCCATGTCCCAATCCTCCAATTTGTCTAGGTCACTCTGGACCTGTCCCTACCCTCCAACGTACCTACCTCTCCCCCGACTTCGTGTCACCTGCAAACTTGCTGAAGGTGCAAACCATCCCCTCGTTCGCTCATTAATAAAGATCTTGAACAAACCAGTCCCAGAACTGACTCTCGGGGCAGCGAAGAGTTTGGAGCAAAGACGTCTCTGTTAAAGATTCACCATCAATCATTGGCACCTCCAAGACTTCAACACCAGGGCAGAGCAGACTGGATATTTCTACTACCGGGGGAGGGAAAACCTGCCGTTGGTCACCAGAAAGCTGCTGAAAGTGGATGGCTCAAGTCAAGTGGCTTTATTTTTTTTTTTTTTCAAATCCTTTGCAGGGCCCCCTCTAGCTCAGTTTGTCCATCTGCAGAGCTTGGGGCCGTGACAGGCCGGTCGAGGGGTATCCGGCGGGTTTGCTGCTGCCTGGCTCCGTGGTTTGGCCACGGCCGTTTCCTTGCCTGGGTTCCCAGCCCTGATCTCGGTTCCCGGCCTCCCCCCCTCTCGTTGCCTGTGCAGGAGAAGAGCTGGCGTAACAGCGTGCGGCACAACCTGTCCCTGAACGAGTGCTTCGTCAAGGCGGGCCGAAGCGACAACGGCAAAGGCCACTTCTGGGCCATCCACCCGGCCAACCTGGAGGACTTCTCCAAGGGCGACTACCACCGACGCCGGGCCCGCCGGCGCATCCGCAGGTGAGAGGTGGCTGCTGGTGGGGGACCGCGGCCAGGCGCTCCAATTCCTAAGCCAGCTGCAGGGGAACCCCTGCTCTAATGGACCCTCTTAACCTCTAGCCTGAGCCAGCAGCTGCTCCCCTTAAGGGCTAAGACTCTGACCTGGCCAGACCCACCTTGGCCTGTCACTGCAGTCTGGGCAGGCAGGGAGCCTGGTCTCCACCCCTCCTCTTCCGCGGCCAGGAGCGGTCTCCCCTGCCCCCAGCCAGCTGAGGCACGTCGGCAGGGTGGTGGCGAGGCAGGCGAAGGCCGACTGAGGTCTCCTTGGCTTTGCCCAGCGCTCCAGGCCTCCTGTATTTACCTAACGGCCCCGGCGTACGAGGCCTCCACAGCTGGTCGCGGCGACTGACAGGCGGGCAGCCCCCTTCGGTTCTGCGGCTCCGGCTCTTCCGTGGGCAGGAGGACACCACGGGGGAGCGGGACTCCCGGGCCGCGTCCGGACCAGTCTCGGTGTGAGGCGCGGACGGTGGGTGTCGCGCCTGCTGGGCGCGGGCCGCTGTCTGGTTTGTGCGTACGGAGAGGCGCCCCGGGGAGCGAGGGATGATAAAGGCCCCGGGGTGGGGAGGCAGGTGGAAATTGGGGCCTGTCCGCGAGAGACTCATTTCCATCAGTGCCCTGGGGGTGGAAGCTGCTGCAGCCGGTGGGCTCGCTGGCCCCACAGCGAAGCCGCCCAGTCCTGTCAAGGGTTGGGGGTGGCGGGAAGGGACGATCAGCGGGGTGAACCAGCCGGAGGTGGATCGGTCCCTCGCCTGAATCTGCCCCAGGCTGAGAGCGGGGGGGCCTGCGTCTGACCCTCCTCTGCTTGTCCCTTCCAGGATGGCGGTGAACCTGAGCTGCTATCACCCCTACGCCTTCTACGGACTCGGCTGCTGCCCTGCCCGTCACTGCCTGTGCTGCCCTCCTCACGCCAGCCCCGGCCCGGCTCCGCATTGCCAGCCCGGATTCCCACTGCTCCCTCTCTACCCACCTGCCTCCCAGCGCCACCCGCTCCTTGCCCCGGGGGCCCACAAAGCCCTGCCCCAGCAGCAGCTCAGCTGGTCCTGGCCCGGCCCCCACTTCCAGCGTCCGCTGCAGGCTCACCCGTACCTGTAGCCAGGAGAGCACTGAGCGCTGCCCCTCGCCAGCTGCCTTTGGGGCCCTTGTGAAGAGAGCGGAGGAAGGGAAACGACCTGGACCTCTCCCCCCTTCCTCCCCGGGCTCCCTCTGACGCCCTGCCTGCCTGCGGGGGTTCGAGGGCAAAAGCCAAGAGGCCTACGCGCGCCTGACGGACGCCCCGTATCACCCCACTGGCCTCGAAGCAGCAAGCGGACGGGAACTCAGCCTGCCAGCCCCCCCGGGCCCTCCGCCCCCCCC